TGAGAAGGGATACTGCACGTCCTGGGATCAACCTTGTTTCCCCCAGTTTCAATTTGGGCCATTAAACGTACAGCAATGCTGACCTCCACCGATGTGTCCTATCCTTCCAGGAATAAGAACAAGAATCCTTCCTTGGGCTATATTTGGCTGACAGAGCATGCGTGACATTTTCCAGGAATGGGCCATCTCCTGTACAGCCGTACAATCTCCACCATATTACAAATGGAAATGTATACAAATCCCTGGGTATTTGGCGGCTAATGGTGATCATTGTTATTGCTCTGGCAGGAACTTGAGGAAATTACTACTTGGGAGCCAATTTAATTCGGGTGCCGCCGATATTGTACAAGATCCATTTGATACTTAAGCTTGTTCTGTTTTTTATAAGCGGGTGATACTGATAGGGCTGCCGGCTCACATGTTAGTGGCAATCATAAAGCAGGTGGAACAGAGCGGATACATAGAGGACACAAGTCTGAGTGTAGTGATTACAGGGTGGATGTGTTCTCAATGCCTGCTGCCAGACACTGATCCCTCGTGACTGATGGCCTCCTGTCCCATGTATGCAAGAACTTGGAGATAAATTAATTTCCCCCCATACTCATCTATTTCTTAACTCATCTCTTTCCCTGTATGAATGGATGGATGAAATCACGCAGGGCCAGCGTCACTTTCGGACTAGCTGCTCCCACCATTTGCCCTTATATACCTACAAAGTCCTTCATGCATACTGAGTACCATATACCTTCCCAAACAAAGTCGGAGGGATAATCTATATTCTCGGCAAAATTCGATTAAAAAATATGAAGCATAAGGAAGGAGACCCAAGTGCCAGGATATCATATAGCCAATTACTTAGCCCTAATGGGGCCTGGGAAACCTATCAATAATGATGTCTTAGAGAATACTCTGATGGCTGCGGCTACAAATTGGGCGTAAGTGAATCAGGCTTTGTGGAAACATCCTGGATTAAATGCGACACTCGTTGTCCGACACGCGACCTTGACAAGATCAACGGAGCACATCTGAACACGGTACGCTGCACCTCCTGAACTTTACAGCACTAAGCACTACCCGAGCAGCTGGAGAGTAGTGAGGGCCGGCTACGCTGCCGGCAGTCAACATACGGGACCCTCTTCTCACAAATGAACAAGGATAACATTTACCCAATATACCTTGTTATGTTAAACACAACAATTGGCTAGATAGGATTAGTGGTCCTCGTGTACTTGTCAAGCTATAAACAAAAACACAGCCCAAGGATCAGGTCCTCATGCCAATTCCCGTGGGTGCAATTACCAATATTAAAGCCTAAAAAATACAGCTGTGTAGGGCATTACCTTCTCTCGTATAATTTGATCAGTACTCCAACACAACCCAATATCAAAACTGTATATATCATGCTAACCATGTAAATTGGTTTGTCAAAAATTTGTGTCACCGCCTACCCACTAATTACATATGGCACAAGAAACAAATGAGAGCAAATATTATCAGGGATACCAGCGTAAAGCCCACACGCTAAGAGTAAGACATATCAGGTGGTCCAGAATCATGCGTCATGATGGAGGGCTCTAATCTATGTCCAGCCCGGCCCCACAGGATCCTTGGGCTCTAATCTGCTTTATTATGTTTCCCAGGGGAACCCACTGAAGATTTGGCAATTGGCAAAAAGAAAAAAGGTTTTAGAATTAAATAGGGAGATTAAGGCACCCTGATACCCACACTTCTCGTGGGACTGGCGCCTTGAAAGGGCAGTCTATTAGCCAGGGCACAACACTAAGGCACACCACGTATGCACCTACAACAACGCTACAGGCACACTGTTTATACAATATCAAACAAAAGGATACAGATCCAGGATGAGGCGGGCTGCCCTTAGGAGATCCGTAGGCACTCAGGTCTGTCAGGTCCTGGAGTTCTCCACATTCAGCCTTCAGCAGGGACAAGGACAGGCCCTCCGGCGCGTGGTGCACGTCCCCCATGGATGGGGAACCGTTGCTCAGCATCTGGTGGTCCGTCAGTGGTGTGGGGACGTCTTGGGACTCCAGGGAGCGGGCGGAGTAATCTTTGGCTTGCTCGTCGTGGTGGTGGAGGGAGAAAGCTGCCGAGACTATGGGGAGGGTTTGCTGTAGGCTGGGGTTGGGAATTGCGACCGATGTTGGCAAGCAGTTGGCAAGGCTGGAGCTGTGTGTGTTGGCATTGGACGAAACACGGTGGTTGCCTTGCTTGACTCGTAAGCGGCCCTCCTTCTTGCGAGACACCACGAGTGGCAGTGCCTCCGTCTGGTCGAACGCCTCGGAGCTGATGGGATGGTATGGGATGTGGGTAGAATGGAAGTCGCTGAAGTTGTGGATAGCCTGTGCCGTGGGGTGCACGCTTTGCCTGGGGATGTCTCCTTGGCCGTTAAGACCGCCGTTGATGCCAGATGAATGGGTGTGATGAAGGGCGCTGATTTGGCTGGTGGGCTGAGAGGGGAAGTACTCTCGCACCACAGAGTCGACTACGTCTGTAACGGCTTTGGTCAGTTTGTCTTTCAGTGCTTCCCCGAAGTTTGACCGCTGGTTGTTATTGGATATACTTGCCAGCATGGCCTGGGCCCTGTTCAGGTGCGCTTGTCGTGCTGCTATCTCCTGCTCCCTGACCAGGGCACGAGCTCTCTCAATGAAGTGGGATGGCCCCAGCTCTTGTGACTCGCCGCCCTCTGCCTCGTGATGATTTCCTTTCCCTGCTTCCTTCTGGGCAGCGTGGATGACCTCGACGTCGCTGTCATCTCCTGTGCTGCTTTCTTGCTCGTACAGCTCGAAGTATTTTTTCTGCAGCCTCTCCATCTGCTGTTGCATTTCGTGAAGCTGTTGCTTAAGGCGCTCCCTTTCTTGGTCCTTGCGTGGCCGGTTGGGTTCTAAGATGCCGCCCATGCTGTTGACTTGCTGCTGGGGCTGTCGCTGTTTACGTCTGCTGCTGCCGAGCTGCCCTCCACCCAGCATCTCACTCCGAGATGGGGACTGACGCATGTTGGTGATGATGTTCTCGACTCGTGCCCTCTTGGCCTGCAACATCTCCACATCACCATTGCCACCACCTGTCATGCCATTACCATTGCACCCATTGTTTGCTGTGTTCTCTGCAGACATCTGTATGGCTTCTTCTTGTGCAATTTCCATCAAGTTCTGGGCGTGACTGGCCGAGTGGCCAGGCATGGTATTTTCTTTGTTTGGAATTGCTGTCTTCAAGAGCTCAGAGATGATGGAGGCCCCGTTCTCTTTCTTCAGGCTTTCTGTGTTCTGGCTGCTGCCCTTGAGAAGAGACCTAAGGACGTTTCCTGTTGGAGCCACACCGTTTACTGCTGCGGCTGTCGCATGTGCCAAGGTTGTGTTCTGTCCGTATGTACTACGCTTCACCCCTGAGTCCACACGGCGCCTTTTCTGTGGCTGCGACAACTCTTCAATGTCAGACATCTGGGTTAGACATGGATACATATATTTGGCCGGACTGACTTGGTACCCTCTTGGTCTGTTGTCTGTTGTTGTGCTACTTGAATCCTCTACCGCTGTACATGGAAAAATAGCAAGCATGCAATGAAACCCTAGACTAGGCCAAACATCCACACTGCAACACACAAAGGACTGATTAGTACCCTGCAGGGGAAGAGCCCACTGCTCTATTAAAGCCCTGATTAAAAATCCTGACTCACTTGGATGAAGGATTAAGACACCCGAAATGATCAAGAATTTTAGCGTCATACATACAGGTCATCGATATTATCAAGCACGGGAGCCGGGGAAAATTACATCCTCCCCAGCGGGCGTCAAAGACACTTCTGAAGACTGTAGATGTCAAATGAAGGTCGTAAGAATGGATTAGCAATAGGGCTTCTAGAAATCCTATACAAAATTCCAAAAGAGAAAATTGGTAAAGAAAGCCTGGTAAAAATAACTGAGACAGTAATGCAGTATACGCGATATTAATAAAAAGACGTGGAGCTATGATCAGCGAACGGCGAAATATGAAGTGCTGCCCCGTCCTTTGTTCTCGTCTGATCAAAACATGATCGGCCAAATGTTACGTTTACGACGGCCCCGAAATGAAAGGGAAAATACTTGCCATCGCAGCAATACCTACCCCGACGGTCTTGTCAACATTTCTTTCGTGATCACACACAACACACGAGACGAGGAATAGATCTAAGACAGTTTCTCCTGAACATATGTTACGACAGAAAATTACCCATGCACGACCACATCCGCATTGGGTTAAGTGTTATTGTGTGATACACATCTCAGCTTGGCGGCCGGGCGAGCACTTGGGGCCCGCCCGATCACACAACAACGGCGCGCGAGAACAGCGACAGAAGAACTCCAAGAAGGAGTCAGTCACAAAGGAACGATTTTTGTAGCAAAAGAAGTGGTTGTCAGGCGATGACAATGCTGTTAGTAGCCGTGAGAGGCAAGAACAAGCCGGGAAGTGAGTAGACAGACAAGGACGGAGTGATCGCACAGGCACGATCGGACAAAGGACAAAAGGAAATCGACACGACCTCATACCCGAGGAGGAAAACATGGTACAAGAACACGGAACAAGACACCGAACCTTTCACTCACGATTTTACCCGCGATCACACCCGCTAGTCGGCCGTCCGAGCTACCTAAAATTTCTAGCAGACGACAAAAAAGTGTCGACTTACAGCCGCTTGAAGGAGCGAAGAAGACCCCGTGAAGAAGCCGTGAAGTCTGAAGGAAAGGTGAACGAGGAAGTGCGCATGTCGACGGCTAGCCTCGCTTTCGATCTAAGAAATGGACCAAAGCATTTTCAACAGTTGAGGGGGTGCGTGTATACTACAAAAGAGTATTTATGGAATAAAATGGGTTCATTTTAGATTTATAATGTATGAATGTAAATGACTTTAGTTTAAACATGTAAACTTTTCTATGTTATAGTTTGTTCTGTATTCGTTTTTCTAAGAATATTTTGATATTCTCCATATACCCCTGCACAGAAAGGTAGGCACCTATGTTCGAACCAAGATGGCGGCCATGTTGGGAACCTCGAGATGTGTTACTCGGAATTTGGGGCGAGTTACAAGTCAACGAATCAAGGTAGGAATCTATAACATGATGGAATAGATAAAGAACATCTTTGACTTCGTATATACAGGGAGCTGGTGCTGTGGTGTGACGTCTATTGCTTTATTATAGGTATTAAAGTTGGGATACCGAGACAAGGTCATTTACCGGTATACCAAAACGATGCTCTTTCATCATCGTTTCTCACCAGAATTCATCAGGAAACGGATTCGTATTCAAACTGTAGATGAATTCAGTTCGTTGACAAGATGTGCTTCTTACTGCTGTCCTGATCCATCTTCCCTTCATTCAACAGGTGCAGGTGTCATCCCGGGGAAAGCAAACAACACCTGGTGAGTCACCTGTTGTGGCCATGACAGTGTTCCGTTCTCGTGTGCCCCACCAAGCACCCAATATGGAGCGATGACCCCTAAGTTATGACGTATCCTTAAAGATTGAGTCACGCGACAGATGCGGGTTGGGTGTTGACTCAGCCGGTTCCTTGCATAGCAATCAATCATCCCAGACACACGGCGATGTTGTGCACTGGCCTTTCGACCCCAAGAAATATGATAACAACATCTTGCCATGTAATGCTTGTGAGACGGAATTATAAGGATAAGATAACAGGCATTTTGCATCATACTCAATATTTCTTGACAAACATGATGACAGTGGCTGTTGTTTTGCTGTCACATTATCTCACTGACACAACACACCCAGTCACACAAATAGACAAAGGAAAGGAGTCAAGCAACTTTTCAATTACACCCAACTTCCCTTCTGTCAGGGTAGAACAAACAATGAACTTCAAGGTGAATCTAGTCTCACAATAAACAAAGTCAACAGTCAAATCCTCTGATTATGAGTACATACAAGCAGACACAAATACGCACACACACAAATACATATACACTTACAAATGTGCATCAACACAAATACACATACAAATACACATACAAGTACACATACACATACACATACACATACACACCCACACCCACAATGGTGCCCTTTGCCCAGATACCTTTGTAATCATGAGATCAATCAACTCATTATTCTAAATCAATTGGCAGAACAAACATAATTATATATACCTAGTACCAAAATAGCAAGTCTTTGAATATGAATGCAAGCTGAATCTTACATACATGTATTTGTATCTGACATGCACAAGTCATGATTTCGGAAGTGGTGTCTTCCAAGTAAAGTCTCTGTCTGTTTCTTAGAAAGACAGGAAGTGCAGCACGATGTCTTCTGATCACGGTTCCTCGAGGCAACAGTATTAGACAATGGCTAAAGTATGTCAAATATGTTGGTTGACCGAAATGATGTGAATTTTTTGCAGTCAGATATAAGCACAAATACAATATGTACAAGGCTAGTCAGATACTCAACATTATAAGAAAGAAAACAAAAGTTCCACATTGAAAGACAGTGTAAAAGAGGTTTGAAGACATAATTTTCTTCTTGCAAGATTCACTGACTGTTTTTTTTTTGGGGGGGGGAAATTGTCTTTTGAGAGTTTGTCAACCAAAAATAGCAAGAATTTGCAGTCTCCATAACATTACCATTATAGCTTGGTTAAATACTGATTTTTTTTTGCTTCAAGATGTTTTTGATATACTTCCAAGCTACAAACAAAGCTTAAAATTTTAACTACTAGCATAACTACTGGCATTGTGTTGATTGGTTTTAGCCAGGCATTGCTCAACATCATTTTACTTAAGAACCTGCATCTTACTGTTTTAACCTTTCATTTGCAATGTACTTATCATTTGCAAGTGTGAAATCTGATACATATATGATGTTGACAGTCACTCTCAGTCTCAGAGTATGGTGAGTCTACATTGTAGTCAGTCAGCCTTTTGTTGCCGAGCTTTTCTCACGGTCTCAATTATATACCGTCATAGTATTTAAGATCAAATCTATCATAAGGCAACTCTTAGATTTTATCATATTGGCCAGACGTTATAACTTATAGATAAATTTTTATTCTGAAAATGAAAGCAAAATCTGTTTTGTTATTCTGTTAATTGCATGAAAAATATCAGTGTTTTCAAGGTGAATTTTTCAAATTAAGGTTACAAATGGAAGTGTTGTCTGATTTTATGTAATAATGAATGTTTGAAAAATGTTTTTCCCAATTGCAGTGGATTCAAACAGAGAAATTACCTGGGCCGGGATGTGGTGTTTATACATATAGATGCATGTGCAAATTGGATAAACTGTGCAATCAGTAAATCAGCCAGTCACACTAGCAGGAGATATGTATATTTTAATTATTAACCAGATATTGTGGGGGGCACCTGCATCCAAACATGCCAGCAACAGTCACACCACAGGAATCACACTGATTCATGTAAACATTAGTAAACATGGTACAGAAATGTAAAGAAGAAGATTGTCATGTACATATGAATTCATAATGGTAATATTTCTCCCATGTAGGCACAGTAGCAGCACTGAACATCTTTAGAGCACCCTCAGCCTGTCAATCAAAATGGTAAGAACCTCCAGCCCTGATCTAACTGAAAGCACTACTATATTTATAAGTATAATCCAGTTTTCCTTTCCACTATTCAGCTTATCAAGAATTTCGACCTTGTCCAACAGAAAAAATTATGTTATTTCTACCTCTAGTATCATTTATGATTTAATAAGAGTGAGAAGAATGAAACTCATTAAAAATTTTTTGCTGGTGGATAATAATAGGCTAGAAGAGGATAAATTCTTGTTATTGTTGACTTGGCCTCATGTTATGTTACAGGTATGAGTTATCACATTCCATCTTATGCTCACCTGTTTTTATCTTGAAGAAAAGGAGATTGATGGAATTACTAAACTCTATTTTATTTGCTTTTTTTTAAGGGCAAGTCATCAAACAATCCAGACCTGTACAAGAAAAGGCTGGTCTGCCAGGGGTATCTGGACCACAGTTACTGCATGTAAGTCATTAGTATCACTTAATACTGCCGTAGAGCATAATACTAATATAAGGATGAAAGTAAAATAAATCATTGCAATCTAATCCTATTAAATATCCAAGAAGGAGATACTTTAATTTTATCAAGGTTTAAAAAAAGAATTCTTGGCTTCTCCAGTTGGAATAGCATATATTGAAATGTGCATGTCATCTTTGCTTCTGTCTTATTATATGTGCGGCAACATCGATCTTGCCCATGTTTTTCCCCTCCTTCTCATCCTGTTTCTATTAATATAAAGCTGGTAAGACAATTAATCAGCATCATTTAGTATTATACTATATCACTGTGCAGTGCAATGAGTCCTTTGTCATCATGCTAATTGACTCCTTTTTTCATCTACCTGTCCTTTTTAGTTGCCATTCTTTACTCATTAGGTAATATAACCTACATACTTACTGTAGCAGCTGATGAAAAATGCACTTTTAATCAATGGATATTTGCCGTCATATCCCTAAGTAACATGTGCTTTGGGGTATTTTTCCACAGGCAGCCAAGTGGAGAGGTCACCTTATTCAAGTGTTACTTGGAATTAGCTAATTTGATTCATATTAGCGACAGGCTAATGCAACAGTTCGGTTAATTGCCACACAGATCAGCATCATGATGGAAACCATGCATAGTATTTAAGGGATAAATTGAGGCGTTAACATCCGAGTCAAATAGATGAGGAGTCACCTCTCGCAGACATGTAAGCTAGATATCCAAGGGGCCCTGGCGAACGATAAAGTCTTGCATGGCTGTTAGAAAGTGATAAATTAGACGTAATCTAATTAATCTGCCCTTATCCTCACAAGACATGCATGTTTTGTGAAGATGTGTGAGCATGTGGCAATTACAACAGAGGAAGTAGTAAATAAAAGTTGTGTTACAAAGTCATCTCCCAGGTAAAGCCTGGTGTAGACTTGAGGCTTATGCTATAAGTGCATTATCTTTCCCCGCTCTAATTAATAGCAAAGCTGCTTGAAGTAGACAGTTTGGTTCTAATCGTTGCACGGTGGCATGTTCAGACTTCCGTTCCACTCAATGAATACTTGGCAATTATTTCTATGATCAAGCTAGAGTTGAAAATACTGATAAGGCCATGGGGCCTGCATGGAGCCACGGTAAATCTCCACATTACCTTCAGCTGGACCCAAATGTAATTACTTGTTGCCTTCTGCCTGGCTCAAGCCCAGATGTATAATGCAACCAAGTGTTGTAATTTATGTGTTACCAGCAAAAATGGCCATTTGGGAAAAGTGATCAATGGTTGCCTCTCTCAAATCTCATCTAACTGGCAGAATTTGTGGTAAAATAGTTCCGTTGTTCTCCGTCATGTGAAAAATTGTTCGGAATTGGAGATGGTGATGTAGACAAAAATGTGCGTTGATGTCATTGCCTAATGGTTTTATGATAAGGACTCAAAAGTACTTGATTATGCTCCAAAGGTAGAGTGAGGCACTCTAAGTCAAAACACGTCATTAGTAGGTTCGACATCCACACTGTAGCACGTACACACCCTGGTCTTTTCTAGCTATATGCTTCCTAGTGCATGGCAAGTAAAACTCTGGGGTCAATAACAACTTTTTATGTAGAATATTAATCAATACTATGTCGCCAGGATTTTATCTGAGTATATTGTCTTCGTTAATGTTTTTTCTGCTCCTATCAGACTTGGTGACCATTCATTTTCATGTTGGTCACGACAATGCCATTTCCTTGAAGCTAATGTGTTCTTAAGTCTATCCATGTCTTAGATGTAATCTAGTACCTCGTACTGTACTGACTTACCCTGTCCTTTAAGTAACATTGTGTAAGACCTTGCAAGTTGGGGGTTACGACCCTTTAGCTTCAGGACATCTCCTGAAACATTTCAGGATATCTCCTGAAAAGCAGAGATGGCTTACCATTCTTACAGCAGGACTTCTTAGAAGTCTGTTTCATCAATGTAATTCACTGCCTGATGACTTTGGACTTGGTTCCCTTATCAGTTCGATACGGCTTGTTTGCTCTGTAAAGACGACATGCCAATGAAGACATGATTGACAAATGCCTAAGACCCAGTGCAATTGGTCATCCTGACATGCACCTTTGATCTTTGATAGAGATATTAGCCGGACTTGGTTCTACTCAACTTGCATGTCAATAAAATATTGATCTCTTCTTGTCCTTGCAGTCGATGACTTCAAGATAGTAAAAACTCCGCCGTTTGCAGAGTCGGTTACAGAGGGAGATGTGAGGTGGGAGAAAGGTAATGTAGTCATCTTCACATCCCTGTAAGGTCCATCAAACGGTACAAAGGAAGGACATAATGCCAGGAGTAATGCCATCAAAACAGTATCAGATAAAAGGCGCACAAAGAAGAGGAGATCTATAGCCGTATACTATGCCCCGGCCCTGCCCTAATTGGCAGGCAGCTGATGACATTGCAGGATTTTTTCGTTATTGACTTTCTTCAAGGTACACTTGATCAAAGGTCGGCGCCTGTACATGATGTAACTGTCCCATGGAGAGACTGCCCCCAAGTGACATCTGGGGTTGAAGTCCTTTGAACAACTATTGTATTTGATATTTCTCAGGACGGAATTGTTTACGAGACTGCACCACTCATATACGCAAGACTCCTGGCTATCTAAAGAGAGTTTTCATTTCTGGACATGATAGATTTATGATGAAGCTACATGTAGTTATGCGATAGACATGAGATCACAATGAGAGCACATTTTTTGTGCTTTGGGACATGTAAATAGCATTACCTCCCATTCAGATCAACTGTCGAACCTAAGCTAAGGAAAGAAATCATATTAAACACGATGTGGTCAGTCTCTGTAACAGTATTATACCAGCATGATTTTATGAAGATGAATATGTACTATTTACCTTTTCCACAAATGATACCAACATGAACACATGTAAAGTGTGTAGTTTGTACCTGTAGTGTTAAGTCAGACATTTGGGTAGAAGATCTGTGATAGTCTCTCATATGGTAGCTATTTCTGCAGATAGTATCAAGGACGTGTTACTGTACTGACCTTTACTGCTCACATGTGCGTCATACCCATTCAAGACCTTGCTATCATGCTCCAATATTTGATCTTAAGAGCACAAAGCAATTTTATTTGAAGACGATTGGACCCTTATCACCAGTGACGCCAGTCTCCCTAGCAACAATAAGGTTTGTACTTGACGAGGGCAGACTTTGATGTACTAACAGTATGGTGGGAAACCTTGGCTTCAATTATTAAAACCCCATGTGTAACATAAGACATGTTTGTTTTTTTCAATCCGGAAATCACTTTTAGACTAATGCTACGCAACACATGTATGTTTGTCATAACTGACTTCAAGTTTCCTTCTTAGCTGTTGGAGACTATGTGAATGAGGATGAGGTGGTGGGAGAAATTGAAACAGACAAGGTACTGTATACATGACTTTAATCTTCAACTGGTAAAGCTCTTGGTTCCCCAGAACCAGCATATTTACTACATTTGAGCAGCAGTTCAGTTACCCTTGCCTCCAGGCACAGAGCTTGAACTGTCAGGTTGTTAGGATCAGGCCACATTTGTGTCAGGCCATGAAAGCTACAATCAAGTCAAACCATATATATGAATTTGTCACAAGGGAAAAGTGTTTTCTTATAAAGCCTTTAGCTGACACCAGCTTTGGATGATAGAACCATCATTTAATACTGAAATATTCTACTGTTATTGTTTCCTTATAATGTATTCGTTACCTTCACAAAGAAATTGTGTTTTCTGTAGCATTTGTTTGTGACTGTGGTTTGACAGCATATCACAAGAATCTATTGATGTGTATGTAGTATACTGGTAGGTGTCAACAACACAAGGTGTGATTATGGGCCTCCTAGTGGCTTTGTGTGGTATTGGAATGGAATGTTTTTGACATGTTTCCTTTTATTTCATAATCTGTATTTTGTTAATGTATACATACCATGTGTTTAAGGTGTTTACCCTGTGTTATTGTGTGACAGTATTGTGTGATTTTGTATGTATTACATGTTAAGGACCACAGGAAGAATAGCTAACAGAAATGTCAAACTAATTGTGGATCCAAATAAAGTCCAAGTCAAATCTCATTATTAACACATGTCCCTCTCTGTGTACACCTGCAGACCTCCATCCCTGTGCCGTCCCCCGTATCAGGAGTGATTGAGGAGTTCCTGGCAGCTGATGGGGACACAGTCACTGCTGGTCAGGAGCTCTTCAAGGTTAAAGTCACAGGTAAGGATATACAGCTCAGACATGTTTTTTTTTAGGTAAGGCCACACCAAGTAAATTTTATGGATGACGTCCTTTGGAGACCCTAAATCTAATGCGAGAGGGCAAAAAAAAAACAAGAAGGGCCCTAAAAAACAAGATGCCTAGATTAGAAATATACTAAGAGACGACAAATGTTAGGACACAAATTGAATGAGGTGACACAGTGTAACAAGCAAGAAGTCTTTTATTCATCATCAAAACAGCAATAAATCAGGTGGAACAGCAGTTGTCGTCCTGTGCTTTGGGGAGATAGATGGAGCAAGTTTCTTCAAATGTGGCAGCATGTACCAAACTGAATTCCTAATGGAAGTCTTGCTTGATGCTTTATAAGCTTTGGTCCGTACAAACCTATTTGCGGCACTGTCGTGACTATTTGGTCATAGTTACAGGAAGCGGAATTTCTGTTTTTTTCTAGGAACAGGCCAAAATCAATGCGTGCGCGGACGTCATCCATAAAATTTACTTGGTGTGGCCTAATTTTGAAAACTGTCACATTTATGTCATATACACAAGAACAAAGAAAAACAGTT